TTTTGGAACATCGGCTACTTGCCTAATCGAGGGGTCGTGTCGAGGAAAACTGTTACAACGTAGTCAGGCACAGTTTACCATAGGTGCGACTGCGGCAACTAGCAGCCTTCCGTAGACATAATACAGAAAGAAGAGATGGTACTCAGCAGAGAACATGAGCACAGAGTTGTAGCGGAGATAATTTGGCAGGCGAGACTGTAGTTGTTTTATTGTTCCGAACCCCGAAATTCCGGTACTCGGGCCATTACTCCGGAGACCCTCGGAACCTGCTGTGTTTTTGCTGCTTGTTTTTTGTTTTTGTTTCGTTGTTGAGATGAGACACAAGCGCGCCTTCGCCCCTTGTGCTCACTCTCATCTAGCACCCATCAAAGCCTGACCAGGGAGTCAGTTGATAAGACAATCTATCTACATTTCTCTTTCCAGAGCTCGCTCGGGCCTACCGATCTCACAGCAGTGTAGACCAACCTCTCTCTGTGATAGAGCGGTGACAGCAGTGTAACCTCTGTGGTAGACTACAAAGTCTACGAGCTACAGCAGCACCGCCACCCCCGCTGCTGCAGGACGCCACATTCTGTGAAATACGCAGCTGTCATCCGTACGCAGAAAGTAAGCACAAGATGATGCCGAAAACCCTTAGCAGGATGCAGCGCACCCTTCATGTGACTCGCCGAATATCTCACGGCGCTTCGCGCTTGGTGATATTAGAGCCTGGTCCGGTGAGAACCCGGCGTGCTCCGTCCCGGCTTTGTAGGGATGCGAGGTCAATAGTCTAACGACTACGGCATGCGCGACTATGAGTACCCCCTCCCCCCCACCCACCCCATCCACCCAAAAGCAGAAACTCCGAATAATTTCGTGTTCCATTGCCAATCGTTCAATGGCAAGTTTTTGATCATATAGTCTAGTAAGTTTGATGTTCCGCAACAACATATAATGCAAAGCGCGCAATGCTTTCCAGACATACGATGTGTTTTTTGTACTCGACCCCTACATGAAGAATGTATTAAGGAGACAGACGTACGTACGTGTCGTCGTATGGACTTTTACAGAGGCATCTCGCATAGTAATCATCGCCCCTCTTCCTTTTTCGCAGTGTTTGCTTTTCCCCCCGATCGTTGTCGTTCGTATTTCTACACAATAATATCAAGTAGTAGGTCCATGTCTACGTTGCTTCTGGTACTACATCATGATGAGAAGATACAGATTACACTCAATCGCACACAAGAATTTAGCAGTACAGTACTGGGCCCTCTATAGTGCCGGGTAGTGTCCCGAGAAAATAGTGGCACTATACCGGGCACCGGCAGTATTCAGAACAGTGGCTCAGTAGTGCCGGTCCGGCACTACTGAGGGATATTCGAAGCCTCAGTAGTGCCGGTCCGGCACTACTGAGGAGGTGTTGATTTCATGATGCAGCGCTCAAGCTTTGCGGGACCAACAGAGAACGATGTGGATCGTGGATCGAATATGTATGCATATGTGTATTATTAGTGAACGTCTAAGTCCTCGTTGCCCTCCTTCGATGTTGCCAGAAAAAAAAAGACAACAGAGAACCACGACAGGGAGCGCGCCGCACGAAAATAAACGATCATATGTATCACACCTCTAATTTACCACAGCTGTTCTCCCCGCCCTCGCAACGTATGATAGCAGCAATTCTGTAACGTCTGCCTGGCGCCCTTGGATGTCGCAAGAAAGAATCAAAACAACCCCAAGAACACAAGCACGACAGGAAGCGCACCGCACGGAAAATAAATGACCATTACATAAGTACTGTACTCTACCACAGCTGTTCTCCCCGCCCTCGCAAGGTAGCAGCAATTCGGTAATGTCTGCCTGGCGCACCCCCTTGGATGTGACAAGAAAAAACGGTGACAAAGAAAAACATGACAGGAAGCGCACCGGAAGAAAAGCAATCAACCATTGCAACATTGCAACACCAGCTGCCCTTCAACCTTACTCTGTACCAGCAACAAACTCTCTCATGTCTGCCTGGCGCACCCGCCTAGCGGAATGCGCTGCAATCATCGCCATCTTCGCTTTCGTTAGGAAGAACGCCGCGTCTGCGTTGCCACTCTCATCTGCTGCCGCTTCCAGGACGCTGAAGTGAGGCGACAGCTCAGTATAATCGGGTGGAGCACGGCGCTCGGGCCCCGAGTTGTCATCGTCACTGCCCTCCACTTCGTCCTCCTCATCACCGCCGGTAGTCACTTGCATTCCAGCTAGCAGTTCCGCCATTTCGTCCGCTGCGTCCAGTCGAAGAGCCTCCGTCACCTCCTCGTCGTCCTCGATGGTAGCCCACCCCCGAATCGCGCTCACCGCTTCTTCCTCGACCGGCTTTCCGGGTTCGATGTCGAGTTCTGCGAAGAGCTCGCTGATTTCCTCGTCTACGATGCCGGCTCCTTGCTTTTGCGCTTCGCCGACGCTCGTGCTCAACTTGTTGACGGTCTCCGTGAGAGCCTTCAGGTCAGGCTCGGCGATGCTGAACCGGGTCTTTCCGTGTTGTGTGGTGAGCTCAGCCGCCATCTCTGACGGAAGCGTGTCGGCCTTGACAAAGCACCTGTGCCAGGTAGCAGAAAATGCAATGCATCCGTTTTGGGGCGGACAAGCGATGTTGGACGGGAGTGACGAAGAATTACTCATGGGGATGCGATAGAGGACCATTTAGTAGAAAGAAAAATGGGCATATCCGGATGCTGCAATACGCAGTCAAAAAAAAAGGAAGAAACCTATGCCACACTGTCCGTACAGCTGTCCCCGCCTGTCCCCACGTATCGCACCACCAAAGCCACGCGCACTTGAGGGAGCTGAAAAAAAAAACAAGCGATACCACACGTTCAAACCTCACCTGGCGATATCCTGGGCGGTGATGCTGGCCCATGCTTTCTTGAGAAGTTCTGCGGCGTCCCGCAGATGAGGTTGGTGCCCTTGCGCCAGCCCCATTGTCCCGGTCTTCATCTTGCGGGCTTTCGCCTGGGCGCGAAGTGTGTCAGCCACCAACATAGTTGATGTCTTCACGTCGAGCAACTCCTTCCTGAAGACCACTTTCGTCTTGGCAATGATCCCCAGATCCATGGGCTGGTGTACGGAGGTGCACTTCGGAGGGTAGAACTTGACGGTCACTTGCCCCCGGTCATCCACGAGATCACCGTGAGAGGCACAGCCGTCCATCAGCAGCAGCACAGGTTCGTGAGTGAAGCGCCGAACGAACGGGAGGAAGACTTGAAGCCACCACTTGAGGAACGTCGCAGAGTCGGACCACGCGTTGGTTTGCGAGTAGTACTTGAGAGGTGAAGGCGCGCTCTTGAAGCAGCGGGGTTCCTTTGCCCTCCCGATGATGGCCATGTCAACCTTCGCAGTGCCGTCGGCGTTGCAGCACATGAAGGCAGACAGTCGGTCCTTGAAGTACATGCTCTTTGAACCCCGCGCCGTCTTCCGATCCTCCGAGGTGGAAAGGTACGTGCGCCTGGGCAGGAGCTTCCACTGGAGGCCTGTCTCGTCGACGTTGAAGATGAACCTAGCCGGGTACTTCGCGCAAAGGGCCCTGACTTCGTCCATGCCCTCCTTGATAGCCGCCATGTTGACGCTACCAGCCTCGCCATGAAGTCGCACGCTGTGGATGTTGTTGCGCTTCACGAAGTTCTTTGCCCACTTCTCGCCGGCCCTGAAGTCCTCGACCTTCGCCCTCACTGCTGCAGAAGTTGCGGTGTCAGCCAGCAGGGTTGTCCTGGCGGAACGGCCGAAGCTTCGAAGGACGTCGCGTGTGACGGGCATCTTGGCCTTCCATGAACTGAGCCCCGTGAGGGGGCAGCATGGGGGAGGCTGTGTGTGTGTGTCCTACAGCAGGTATTCAACCGGCACTATTGCGGGCTGACGTGGCGCCCAACCGGCACTATAACGGGCCATCCCTCAGTAGTGCCGGACCGGCACTATTGAGGGCGCCGTCTGTGTCGAGAGATTTTACAGGCACTATACCGGGCACCGGCACTATTCAACCGGCACTATAGAGGGCCCAGTACTGTAGTCAAGAAATGCGGCCTCGACAGAAATCAAAATCAAATAAATTGGCCATAAGAACACGTACGTGCTCAGTCCCGACGTGGTGTGAAAAACAAGAACCCGCCTTCGTGGTGTAACAATGTGCTTACCGATAAGAACAGAGCCCCAAAACGCGGCAGCTGCAAGAAGATAAGAACTCACGAAGGGGTGAGGGGCTACTCGCGGGGTGACCGTTGGGCAGTTGCAGATCAGCGGCGAGGAGGAGGTTCCTTTGAAATGGTACTGGTTTGGATGGGACGGGGGCGTGCACTGCTGTGTAGAAGTTGCTTCAGGGCGGGTTCCGAGCTAAAGCCGAATTTATTTGGGGGGGGGGGGAACGGATCGTCACCATCCCCCCCCCTGTCTTCGAAAAAATTATCCCATGATCCTTGGCCATAATGATGATGCTGTGCAAAATTTGAAAATCAAACTCGTTCATCTTACCCGGGTTTCAACACACTTTACCTATATCAGGCGGCTAAAAAATGAAAACGCAAAACCCGGGGATGGCCGCTAAATATCCCCGGGTTTGAAAAGTGCTCCGATCGATCTGAAATTTTCAGGTCAAGGTAATTTTGGGGTGGAGAAAACGAATGCGGCGTCAAAAATTTCGAATTCGAAATATATACTGAGTTACAGTGCCACACACCCAAAACAAATCAGGCGCCCGCCGAGGTTCAGAAAAACGCTACAAAAACTCACGAGCGGTCGGAACGCGTCCCCCCCCCCCCCCC